CTCCCAAGCGGGATCTAAGAGACCTTCCCTCTCCCATTCCTCTTCGGGTGCCATGTATCCATCTCCATAGGCCTCCATGTCGTTCATCCTGCCCACTTGTGTGTGCGTGTCTCACGTTCCTTCAAATACCAAAAACTTGATATCACATAACTTTGTTTAACAAAGGAAAAAATTTTCGGCGGGTGGTATGAGAGGGAGGGGGAAGAAATAGGAAAGAACTCCGGCAAAAGCCGTGGACGTTTCTTTCTTGTGAAACAGCTGAGAGAAACGTTTGATCAATGATCGATGGATGTACGTTCGTTTATACGATAGCGACGCGTATACCAAAAAGTGGGAAAGGGTTAGAGATAAAAAAAAAAAAAAAAAATAGAAAAGGAGAAGGAAAACTAAGCGAAATCGAGGAAGTAACGAGAATGATAACTGAAGAATGGAGGTGAATTCAGAGAAGGGGGGGATTTGTGAGCGGGAGATTATCAAAGATCAGCAGAGGGAGAAAGAAAGGGAGAGAAGTGCAGCGATGGAGCTAACAACCCAATACGAAAACGTACCCGCTAAGCCAAGGAAGTAACGAGAATGATAACTGAAGAATGGAGGTGAATTCAGAGAAGGGGGGGATTTGTGAGCGGGAGATTATCAAAGATCAGCAGAGGGAGAAAGAAAGGGAGAGAAGTGCAGCGATGGAGCTAACAACCCAATACGAAAACGTACCCGCTAAGCCCAGAAAATGTTCAATTTCGTGTCGTTCTTTCCCTCGCACTGACCCCTCTGCTGAGTCTGACATACGCGATTTGCACGCCGGCGCACGATTCTCCCTTCCCTGCCCTTCAGCGACTTGACTCCATATAGCATCCCCGCTTCCCCCTAGAGGTCCGACAATCTCATTCGCTGTCTACCACTCTCCTCACAGTTGCTCCTAACTTCTCATTAGGGAAGGGGAGGTGAGACCTCTTTCATTCCGAAATCCGACTCCTTTCTAAATTCTCCTCATTCTTGTCTCTCGCAAACATAGGGTGCCTTCCAACAAGCGACATACATAACACGGTGCGACACAGTATATCCGTACGTCCTTGTTCGCCAATGTTTACCAAGGATGTGACAATCACTGTATGTTGTATTGTGTCGCTTGTTGGAAGGACCACATTCTCTTTGTAAACGAATGCTTGACAATGCAAAAAAAAAAAAAAAACCCCCCAATTTGCATTTGTTTGGTCTAGAATGAAGGCGAAAAACGTTGCAGTGTACGCATGAAAATGCGACGGCCGCGACAATCGACAATCGAATATGAATGTTTTTGTCACGTCTAGGCCTCGCTAAATGTAATGCGCTCTATATTAGGGAGGGAGGAGGGTGCTCGCGAGACATCTTGTTGCACAAATAGGCTCATTTGCCCGAAACTAACCTCCGTCTTCCTCCCTCGCGCGCGCGCATACGCACGCATGTACGTCGATCCGTTGCTCACTTGCAAAAACGTAGAAGCGACGAAAATAGCGTTAGAGTCGGGCGTCGCAACAGCTCATTCACCCACACACGCGACTAAAATAGGACGACGCAAAATCTCGAATCAACCGAGGCAACACCAATACACCATTCTTGAGAAAATGCACGGACAGCGCTGCCAACTCAGATTGTCGAAACCTACAAATTCAGGCCTCGTTTCCACTGAGCGCATTATGCAGGGTCTACAATACAAGTCATAGAGGTCGGTAAAGCCGTAATCACCCTAGCGATTGAGCGATTGTGATTGACGATTGAGGATTACTTTTCAACCAATCAGAGCAAAGGAATCACCGATTGCTTTGTTCCGATTGGTTGAGAAATAATCCTCAATTGTCAATCACAATCGCACAATCACTAGAGTGATTACGGCTTAAGGGCGGGTTCACACCTTGACGGAAAAGCAGAATGCGGAAAAGCAGTAGCCAATCGAGTAGTCGACTTTCTGTTAGTTTTGTACTTTTTACTACCAAGACGAGTTCTGATCGGTTAACTGCTTTTCCACTTTCCGCTTTTCCGTCAAGGTGTGAACCCGCCCTTAGAAGATCAAAACAGGCGGAACGAAACGCGCGGAAGTTTAGTAAAATCTAGATAATTTTGTCTTCCGCTTTTCCGTGTTTCCGCGCTCCATGTAATCGCACCCTAAGGGTGCAAACCCATGCAGCGGAATAGCGTAACGCGGAACGAGAGCAGAACCAATAACGAGCATTCCGTGTTTCTAGAGAATCTCGTGATTGGTTCTATTCTCGTTCCGCGTTACGCTATTCCGCTGCATGGGTTTGCACCCTAAGATTTGGATGTATATCAATTGCATTCGGGTCAGTTGCGCACAAGCCAATCACAACGCTAGAAAAAAATTTTAAAAAATTCCCTATGCAAGAGTTGCTGTGATAGGCAGTGGACAATAGCAAAAACGCATCGATTGAGTATACTTTTATCAAAATTTGAGGTGGACTGAGTTTTCTAAAGCCCTAAACACAATGCGAGAGAATAGCGATAAGTTTCAACTTATCCAGAAATTGAATACACCGGAATACGCATTTTTGATAGGTTGAAACTTATCGCTATTCCCTCGCATTGTGTTTAGTGCTTAACATTTACCAAATTATCCAATCATAGTCGATTATTCTTCTTATATTCGACTGTGATTGATTAATTTTCTATGACTGTTTAGTAGCAAATCCACAAAGTTGATTTTCTTAAGCCCGATCTACAATTGCGTAAACGTAGTTGTAAGTGGTTGTAGTTATAAGAATTGATCAATGACAGTTGAATATTCTCCTCGTATTCAACTGTGATTAGTCAATTCTTACAACTACATTTACGCAATTGTAGATCGTGCTTTACTGCTAAGTCATAATAAACTGAAGCGGGGAGCACAGACTTTTGCATAACGCATAAACCATATACATAAAGAATTTGATTGGTCCATTGACTCATGCATAAGAAAATGGGCCAATGAAATTACTTATGCACATGCTTTATGCGTTATGCAAAAGTGTGTGTTTCTCGTTTAACCCCCGTATTCATAGTCAGACCTTATACTTAAGGCTACCTTAAATTTATCTTCAGATGATTTACGAATTATTTTATTGGCTACTGAGTATCTAAAGATAAATTTAAGGAAGCCTTAAGTATAAGGTCTGACTATGAATACAGGAGTAAGGCTGTGTTCCGTTTCACGCATATACGCGCATTCCCCTATAGTATATATACGTGACGCTCATTATATAAAATGCGCGCATATGCCTAAAACGGAACGCAGCCTAAAGGTTGGATTATACTGGCCGTAATCTGTTAACTTATGCTGTAATCTGTAAAAATTGACCAATTATAATCGATTATTCCCCTCTCATTCGACTGTGATTGGTCAATTTTTACAGATTACGGCATAAGTTAACAGTTTACGGCCAGTATAAATCAACCTTAAAGCGGGGAGCACAGACTTTTGCATAACGCATAAACCATATACATAAAGAATTTGATTGGTTCATTGACTCATGCATAAGAAAATGGACCAATGAAAATCCTTATGCGCATGCTTTATGCGTTATGCAAAAGTCTGTGCTCCCCGCTTAAGGCCTATCGCACATGAAATGCATAACTGTGCATCAGCATAACATAAGGCCGCTGGACCAATGAGCATCTTATGTTAATCAATATGGCGTCTTTATGCTGGATGCTCATTGGTCCAGCGGCCTTATGTTATGCTTATGCACAGTTATGCATTTCATGTGCGATAGGCCTAAGAGCCCCAACACAGACTTTTGCATAACGCATAAAGCATGTGCATAAGGAATTTCATTGGCCCATTTTCTTATGCATGAGTTAATGGACCAATCAAATTCTTTATGTATATGGTTTATGCGTTATGCAAAAGTCTGTGCTCCCCGCTTTAAGATCCTATCGTGTCGGGCTGTGTGGCTCCGCGGTAAGACGGTGGTTTTCTAATTCGAACTTCTCGGTTCAAATCTTGGCTTCGCCTTCGAGCGTCTCAGACATTTTTTCTCGGTCCAGTTCTTAACACATTCGATAGAACAAAGTTTTTAGCTTTAAAATGTAATTTCTTAATTGCGATATGATTTTTAACGAAATTATGAGCAATCAAAATCAAAATGCTCCTTTATTTAACTCGCGAATAACCGAGGAACAATTTCAGGATTTAAAAAAAAAAACGATTTTGTAAAGAAAGCTTCAAACTTTCACAGTAAGAAGATGAAAATTTTCGCAAATATTTTTTAGGCACATGGAAGACCCACAAATACATGTAAAAATTATCAAACTCACAACTTAAAAAAACAAAAATTTTAAAAATATAATAATTTTTAGAAAGTAGAGATTTTAAGCCCTTTTTTTAAATTTCGTTCATTTTTGACGAAGATATTGTAAAATGAAATCTTTTTATATAAAGCCAGCGGCATACGATGCTTGTTTTCCGGCTGGATTAGAATTTTGCCATCGTATTGGCTGTGGTACTGACAGTGCCAACATTGCAGCCAATACAATGGTGAGAATCTAATCCAGCTAGCAATCCGGCAGAAAAACAAGCATCGTGTGACACTGGCTTAAGAAAAAGACTGCTAACTTACACATAAATATTATTAAATCTATTTATAGAACTGACGTATAGTTTAATAACTTAATATGTTCTGTATAACAAATTCAGTATTAATATAAAATTAAATTGCATACCTATTAATATAAACGTCAAAACTATTACAAAGAAATACAGGAACAGAAACGTCAAAAACGTTAGTTTTATCGATAATACAGCATTCCCTTCAAACCAGATAATCTAAACGCATACACACAGAATTCTAAATGTATGGTATAAATAATTAAATAGAAAAGTTAAACATAAAATAAATACAATTGCGTTTTAAACAGAATAAAAAATAAAATATAGGAACAAATACTCATAAAACAAAAGTTTACGACAAAACACAATTGCGTTTTAAACAGAATAAAAAATAAAATATAGGAACAAATACTCATAAAACAAAAGTTTACGAAATTAGACGTGGTTCTATCATTTGTGAATAATTAAGTATAAGTATATTTCCATCAGGGTGATGTTCAGATTCATCGTCTGTCAGAGAAAACTTTCCAAATGGTAATTCCTGAATTTCCTCTTTACCTTCTGTAAATATAATATTTTGTTTTAAAATTCAAATATACAGTTAAAAATATACACAATGGTCAGTATAGGAATTTATTTATATCTATTTTCTATGGCTGAACTAATGTGCATTTTTGGAATTTAAAATAAAATAGATAAATGTTTAACATATTTTATGAAAGTAAGTGAAGAGAGTTCTAATGTAGTCTACTGCAGAAGTAAAAAAAAAACTTATAGTTGGTTCTTATATTTGAAACCGTAACTACAATATTAAGATATCATAACCAATCAAAAATCAGTATTCATAGTCCTTATATTTAAGATTGTCTTAAGAATAATTTAACATGTCATGAACCAATTATATACTATATTAGCATATATTTTAAGTCCAAGTCGTAAAATAAAAACGGAATATGAATACCAGCCAATGTTACTTACGGAGTATCTGAAGAGTATAATTTCCCTGTGCACAAGCCACTATTTCAGCAAGAATAGAATTAGACAACTGAGGTGTGTAATCTAGACCAATCTTTAAAGTCTGAAATTCAATACTGTTTAGAAAAAAAATATAGTAAATTTTTTAATATAATGAGATACATACTTTAAAGGCAATAATATCATTGACTTGCGGTTTTCTAGTCATTATTGGAACCTTTTCTAGATCAGCATATAATTTTTTATAACTTTGTATTTCCTTCTTAGGTTTTGTACTACATACATTTTTTTCTGTAATATCTTCCATATTTTTGTTTTTTATCTCATCATTTTCTATTTTAACTCCATTGTTTAATTTCTTATTTCTAAAGGTTATTGGCGTTGAGCTTTGTCCTAATGCTAAAAGCGTAGAAAGATCTCTAAAAGACGATGTTTTGTTTAAGTAAGATTCATTTCTAGATGCTTCTTGTACTATTTGTTCTGTAATAGTATGTTCGTCATTTTCCATATTATCAAATCGTATATGTTTTCCTGTTGGAATAACATAAGAATCTATTATTTTGGGTTTTTTTAACTTTGACTCTTTTGATATGTTTTCTTCAATTCTATCAGGAGATGATATAATTAACTGAGATCGATTTTTTGATTTTCGTTTCCGTATTCTTTTCCTTTTTGCAATGGATACAATCGAATCTATCTCGTTACAATTCTCTGTTAAATTATCTGTAGTTTTAGAATCCGTATCCTCTTCACTACAACTGACTACCATATCAACTAGACTATAGAATGTCATATCTTTTGTGGTATTATCTGAAATAAAACCGATTAGTTATATTATTAAACAAGTTTTATTTCGTTTTGTTTATGTATACATAGTACAGCATAAATAAAATAAACTAACTTATTGAAGTTGGTTCCAAGGTACTGTTAAATGTATTTTGTGCAACTACTTTCTGTTTTTCTGTTTTAATATTTGTTACCATGGTCTGCTTATCACATCTAGAAATACGGCTAGATTCTACAAGATCTTCATTATTTATTCCAGATCCAGGAACTACTCTGTAATATATCAAATTATTAATAAAAATACATGTGTGAAACCACACATTGCATGGAAAGTTGTAAACTCATGAATGATTCTACACAAATTTATAACTGTCTACACATAGTAAGAGCAAAACAAGGTCTTTGCTCGCATTGTATTTCGCTAATTTCGCAACTGATGGATTTTCTAACCTCAATAATAATTAATTTTAACGCTTAATATTTTGGTTTATCAGTCAAACTGATACTTATTTCTATCAGATTCTTTCATTTTATGCAAAAACATGTTGCATGAATCTAATTTTTAATCAAAATCAGGATTCTGAATAATTATCAAAGGATGAATTAAATTGTGGATATGATTCTATAATACAACTAATCAAAACAAAAATTGTAATACCAAAAACATACTGAAAGCAATCAAAATTAAAATTCCAATTTTTTAAATACGTGGATAAAACATAATTTGAGATACAACATAATACTAACAGAATTGTCTCATTTTCCTTAAGTATTCTCACATCTTCTATTGGAGGCAGATATTCGGTGTCATTTAGCAATAAATGAAATGGTTCTGCAATGTTGAACAATTTACTAATATGTTGCTTCAAGTGATTAACCTGCTGGATTTTTGTTCCGTCGATGAAGATCCAGCAGAATCGGCGTGCATCGTGGAAAAATTTAGAGAGATCGACCTTCAGCCGAAAATGTGGACGCTTTATGTCTTCTTCCATGGTTATCATTGCAAAACGTTGATTAATTTTTTTAATTAGCCCGGCACTTTGAATTTGTGGTCAAAACTTAGCCACCGTTTCAAACCGTGATTTAAGAATTCAAGTTTAAACTGTCTTCTTCTTCACAAGCCTTTTTCATGTGGTTATTAAGTTTGAAGTTTTGAACACCATCGATGCATGCATGCATGCAGCAACGTGCAGCAACGTACAGAGTCGATACGGCCAGTATCGAATATCGAATGTGGCGGCGAGTCTCGTAAAGCAGTGTTGTCAGGATTTAAAAAAATAATGTCGCCTAAAGCGGGGAGCACAGACTTTTGCATAACGCATAAACCATATACATAAAGAATTTGATTGGTCCATTTTCTTATGCATGAGTTAATGGACCAATCAAATTCTTTATGTATATGGTTTATGCGTTATGCAGGAGTCTGTGCTCCCCGCTTAAAGGTTGATTTATACTGGCCGTAAACTGTTAACTTATGCCGTAATCTGTAAAAATTGACCAATCACAGTCGAATGAGAGGGGAATTATCGATTATAATTGGTCAATTTTTACAGATTACAGCATAAGTTAACAGATTACGGCCAGTATAAATCAACCTTAAGGGTGATTTTACATGTAGCGCGGTACGCGGTATGCGGTACGCGGTGAAGTAACTATAAGGTAATTAACCTGAAAAGTTAACGCAAATTTCTTCCAAGTGGCCAATAAAGCGCATGGTAATTATTAGATTTAATCGATTTAATAATGTTATCATGGCCATCAACATCATATCTGCAGTCTCCATGACAAAAACAGTCTTTAATTAATGCAAAAATCGTTTTTTTTTCCTACCAAACTCCGAACTCCGAAATTATTTCTCTTTACTTGGCAGTATACACAGTATATACCTGTGTTAATTTCTAATTATGCACCCAGCTGACCGAGCCGATGCCGACCATGTCGTTATCGTTCCGCCTTTCTTTTTTCCTACTATCAGGGCGGGTTCACACCTTGACGGAAAAACGGAAAATGGAAAAGCAGTAGCCAATCAGGTAGTCGACTTTCTGTTAGATTTGTACTTTTTACTACCAGGGCGAGTTCTGATCGATTAACTGCTCTTCCGCTTTCCGCTTTTCCGTCAAGGTATGAACCCGCCCTTAAGGTGCTTTTTCACGCGCAGCACGCTGCAGCAGCAATTCGTTACTATTGGTTAAGAATTTTATGTAAGCTAGATGACGCACTTCCGGCGCAAAATACATTTTGCCGCAGTTCGTTGAAGTTGAACCGAACGAACAGCAAGCAGCAAGCGGCAAAATCGAGGCAATATTATTTATTGCAATAAATATTAGGAAAATAAACGAAGAATGGCTTCGGATAAGGTACGAATGTTTGTAAATTAGATTATTTTATACTTTACACTTTACTTTTTCAAATTTGTGGTACAGTATAAAATGATCTAATTTACAAACATGTATCCGTACCTTATCCGAAGCCATTTTTCGTTTATTTTCCTAATATTTATTGCAATAAATA